ACTAAGAGCCCAGGTTCATTGGTGAGTGAGCTGGTGGCCTTTCCTTTATTCCATAGGGGGTCACATAGGGCTTCGTTGGCATGGGGGGCTGATCTGTGCCCCACTTTTGTATTAAAAGTCTCTACTTCCAGACTGAGATAACTGACCCTTGAGCACTGATGTTAAGCCTTGAATAAGTGGTTTATTTATTTTCACTCATGGACAAATGTCCAAGCACATGTACTTTCATGAGCTTAGCTCTAGAGAGAGAAAAATGCATGAACATATTTCACGATTAAGCAGTTTGCTATATTCTTCTCATATTTATCTCATTTCTCCTCAGAACAACCCTGGGAAGTGAGAATCATTATTGTTCTCATCTAGCAGATGAAGAAGAATTAGAGAGGTTGGACAGCTTGTGACCTCTGGTGCCAGAACTCACACCTGGGTCTACTTGGTTCTGAAGCTTTCTCTGCAGACCCAGAAGACATCCTGCAAGTCATTCAGCTCCTCCTTGGTCAGAGATAAACTGCCTAAAGTTTATTTTTCCCAGGCTTCCTTTTGGTTTTTTCTGGAGGGGTAGCCTCAGAAAGAATCCCACAACACCTGCTAATACCCACAGTTTGAAAAGCTTTCCACAGCATGAGCATGATACACAGGTCCAAAAAAAGAAAAGGCATTTCCCCCCCTAAACAGCATCTTGGTGGTGCAGTTTTAAAACCTCATAATGAAACAAACAAACAAACAAAAAACAAACCCAAAAAATGTGAGGAGAGAGTTGGAGAAATAGATATTGCCAGGATTGAGGAATTCACTGACTCCCAATCTGGGCCATCACAAGAGATGTTGGCCAGTGGCTTAGCCTCTTAAAAGCTGAAAAGTCATCCCAGGCCATGGTTAAAGAGAGCGCTTGAGCAAAACAGAAACAAATGTGAACCTTAAAGTTTTAAATGTCAACTTGAAGGATAGCTTAGAAGCTCTGAGATGGGCCAAGAGAACCTGCAGCTGCTCTCTCCAGCATCAGACCTCCTTCTGTCCTTCTGTCCTTGGACTAGCCACTTCCCTACCCCATACCCACCGGGGAAGTTTACAAATGCCTAAAGCTTCCATTCTTTACAACCCATCAGAGTCTCCCCTTACTCTGATCTTAGCACCTTAGGCACAGTTTGCCTAACAAACCTGACCTCGGACTTAATCTTCAAGACTCAGCTAGTTCCTCCACCTCCTTTTCTTAAATTCTTTTTTCCTTTTGCTGCCCTGATTGGGTGTTTTCAGCTATCTTGTCTTCTAAATCACTGATCTGATCTCTTCTTCATCTAATCTGCTATTGATTTATTTGGAAGGAACACTTTGTAAAGTATATGACTATCTAACCACTGTGCTACACATCTGAAACTAATACAAAATAATATTGAAGGTAAACTGTAATTGAAGATAAAATTTAAAAAGAAAAATGTTAAAAGTAAAAAAAAAACAAAACTGGTTCTTGAGCTTGCTGCCCCACCCCCACCCTACACAGACAACCTGCTCTGCGGCCCTGCCCCCTCAAAAGACACCTCACACAAGAGTGGTTTCCAGGACAGATATATCCAGGAAGTCTGGTGCCTCCCCCCACCCCTCAGGGTAATGGGCCAGGCACACTCATGGATAATCCCTGTTAGCTCCCTTTTCTAGAGGGTGAAAGTAAAGGTGACCTGAGCCCTGGAAACTCCACCCCCTGGCCTTCAATAATGGAAAACCTGTAGCTGGATTTGGGTGGGAGGTCCTTTCCAAACAACACAGGATTGATCACAAATATACGAAATATAAATATCGTATATTTTATCAAAATAAAATTACGATAGTCGCTTTATTAAAGGTCTGCAACATTACTGGCTCTGTTTTCATTCTTTTGCATAAACATAATCTTTGTAATAACCTTGTGTGGTACACATTATCCTCAGTATGGTTTCACAGATGAGGACACTGAAGCTCACAGGAAGAAGTAAGGTCTCCCAGGTGAATAATCCTCTCCGGGGCAGTGCTCCGAAGCCTGTACTCTATCCTTGTGCCAGGCTGCATTGGAGTCCAGACCTGAAGGGCATAAGATCCCTGAACACAAACACTCTGGCCACGGAGATGCAGGGGTCCGTCTGCTATCAAAGCCGAAGATAACGTCCAAGTTGTTTTTCTGCCAGGGGTGTTTGCCCTCTGGACCTCCAGGAGAGCCCGAGAAGGAACGCATCCTAAGTATTCTGGTCTCAGAGATGACTGAAGAACTGGCCAGATCTTGAGCTGATAGAAGGGACACTGAGAGGGCTTCAGTTATCAGCCCAAGCGTCAGCGGTCTAGGAATTCGTCCAGGTCTCAAGTTGGTGAAATGTCTCCCAGAGCAAACCCAGAGGGGTCAGGATTCTACTGACCATCTAAAGAAATCCACATGATGAAAGACTAAAAGCCCAGTTCCCTCCCTGAGGAGCCCTGTGCTGGGACAAGGGTATTTCTGGCTGTCCACCTCCAATGGGTCCCTCTGTCCCTGGGTGTTCAGCGTTCTGTTTGTAAATAGTGGGAATGAGGGGGAACATTTAATATTGGTCTTTCCATTGACTCCACTGAAATCAAAGAAGCAAGCTTCTGCCTTGTTGGTTATCTTTGCACCCTCCTAACTACAGGCACTTAAGCTTGCCCTCTCCTTTACCCCTGGGCCCAAGGCTCTTCAGCAGGGGAGAGAGTTTAACCTGTTTAGTGTCCAAATCATTGGGGGCAGGAGGTTGGGGAGAAAGACTGAGGAGAAGACATGCTCCCTCAGAAAACAGTAGTCTCTCAGCCTCACCCACTTACCCAAAGAAAAAACATTCACAGGCCTTCATACTGGTCCTGCCCTCACATCCTCCCCCTTTCCTGAACGCCTGACTCTCTTTTCAGTTCTAGCGCCCAGGAGAAGTTTCTCTCCTCTTTTCGTCCTGATGGGGGCACGAGTATTCCCTCGGCATCCCAGGAGCCAGAGGAAAAGCTCTGAAAACTCGGCTAGGAGCTATGTGCCAGAGCATGCAACTTACCAGGCAGCAAGAACATAATAGCACAGTTGTTTTTTTGGTTTTTGTTTTCAGTTGTTTTTTTGGTTTTTGTTTTGTTTTGTTTTAACAAAGAAATGCAGCTCCCAGCACAGATGAGAAACGGGTTGTTTATGGGTCCATGCCTGAGGCAATGACCAACACCACAAAGTCACAAATGTGTAAGCATGCACTTGTACGTGCATCTCATGGGACCCAGCTACCCCACTTACACACTCTTTTACACTGCCCTTAAAGTGACTTATTTCCTTTCTCATCACACTTAGGTGGAAGATGTACTCCTGAAGTTAAACAAGTCTATTTTTGACATTGCTGTCTGCTCAGTCTATTATAGTGTTTCCCTAGGGGTCAATTTGTATAATTTCTAAAATCCTTCCCAAATCTCCAACTTCCTGTGGGTCCAAATTTCCTCTCTGTCCCTTCATTCTCTCATTTTTCTAGGGCACAGGCAGAGTCCAGTAATGTTCCTCCCACCCAAACACTGTAGGTTGGCTCTATTGCAAAATACAAAACCAGAGACCCGGCTAGGGCAAAGCTGAAAGGGCCCTCTTTGTGGTCACTGGTTTGTTGAACCCATCTATTGACATCCAGCCCCGTGCGTTGGGCAATCCAGGGCTGCTGGGTCCACAGAGCCTGCGCCTCCTCTCCTCCCACTCTCAGGAGAACACAATTCCCCCTCTTCGTCCTAGGAAAAATCCATTTCCTCCATCAACCGGCTTTTCAGAGAAATCCAAGAAACTGACACCAAATTCAGATAGGGCGAGGAGGGGGTGGGTACACAAAACTTGAAACTTTAAGTTTTTCTAAGATGGGAAGTTGCTTTCATTCCCCTGTCGGCTTCAAGGAAAACCTTCAGGGCCTCTTTCCTAGAGAGGTGTGATTTTCCTTCCCACCTTCCCAGGAACTTTGCAAATCCTCCACAAAACTGTGCAAAAGTGGCCAAAGCAGAGAGAGAAGAGTTAAATCAAGCCCAGACCTCAGCAATCTGTGTTCAATTTTGATAAAAATCTCTCTCCCTCTCCCCCACCATCCCCCTTCCTCCACCCCACAGCTCAGACATGTCTCTTTATGTTATGAGCTTGCATCTTGTTTGGGGCACCGTGGTGCTTCCAGAGAATCCGGCACGTCCCCCACCGTGGGCACATGTGGCAGACACATTTCATCCCACTCCTGGGGCAGGACTGGACACAGAGCCGCAGTGTCCTGACCACCACCACCTCCTCCTCTTCCTCATCCTCCTTAAATTACTTGCCTCCTGACCAGATCCTTCCTTACCAGTTAAGTCAAAGTCCCATGGCCTGGCGATGTCAGGGCCAAGGCAGGGGGCTTGGCAGCGGCCACAGGTGCTAAGGTACCCAGAGTCACGACTCCTTTCCTGAGGCGCTCCTTTCTTTGCTCTAAGTGCCCCTGCCCACTGCTGCTGAGACCAAGAACCTCGGGCTCCCCCTGCCCTGCCTGCTGGCCAGGGGCCAGGCTTGCAAATGGGAGCTGGGCTTGTTAAGAGTTAAGTCATCGCATGAAGGCACAAACTGAACCAGGACAAGACACCGCCAAAAAAATTGTCAGTGTGGGGGGTACCGGCTGTTTGTCCACTTGTGACAACAAGGAATCAGATTTCAAAGCCACGAATAAAACATTTTTTAAAGTTTTCCAAAGACATTTCCTGTGTCCAGATGTGCTAATACCGACAGACTCCACATACACACACACACACACACACACACACGCACAGACGCACACGCAGGCCCTGGGAGCCCACTCAGGGATCCGTGGCTCCTGCAAACACTTTGGAGAAACAAAACAGGCAGCCTGTGGAGCCGTTGCCTTCCCAATCCGCTCTTACCACTGTGGATAAAGTAGGGGGAGAAAAGTGAGGCATTGCCGGCAGAAAGCCACCCCCGCCCCTCAAGCCCGGCCACCAGCCCACGGACAGACGCGAAGCCCGGCAGGCCGGGCGGCCACACTTACTCCGAGGCCCCCATGGCGGGCGCCGCTCCTTGCAGCCCAAACCTGGCGGCGCGCTCGCGGCCGCGCTCCGCTAGTCTCTCCGGACTCCGCTGCATTCAGAGAAACCACCGCCGCCGCCCCTCCCGACCGGCCTCGCTCCCCCGCCCGCCCCGCTCTGACGTCAGGCGTCTTGGAGTGGGATATTTATGGCCAGGATACTCTGAATTTTCCCTAGGTAGAGTTCTGATTGCAGTTCCTTGGGATTTGTAATTTTCACACTTTCAGACAGAAAGGAGGGGAGGGAGGAAGGGAGAGGGCAGCCGGCAGGGGCGAGGCAGACAATGAGGGTAGCTGTTTCATGCTTTGGCAGGGAGCCTTCTCAGGGCTCCCCCTCTGTTTTGGAAACATGTAAGGGTCAAGGAGGCAAAAGTGGCGACCTGGGCAGTAGGTTTCTCCTCGCCCCTCCCGTGGGCATCTGGCGCAAAGACCTGGTCTGAGCCGGCGAGGGGTTCAGGTGCGTTGGGAATGCCTTCACCATCCTCAAAGGGTCCCGTTATAGAACAGCAAGTCCCAGGAAGGTGCTAGGGCAAGAAAGGAGATAAATCAGGCAGAACAGAACAGCTAATTAGAAGCCCTGGTCCACACCCTAACAACTTTTCCATTTCTTCCTTGGGAGTGTGTATGTTTTAAAAAAAAAAAAAAAGTTTATTTTTATAAAATTATGTTCCACACTCCCTGCCTCTGTATAGCTTTTCCAACTCAGTGCCAGTCAATTCATCTTACTTCACTGCTTATATACAGAGTTTGAGCCGTTTACAATGGCTCTTATTCATACTTTTAAAGATTGCTTTTAATTTTTTTCTTGAATGTGATTGTGATCCATCTTCTAGACTGGACTGGAAATTGCCTTAGTCAAGAGCAACTGTCTGTCCCCTGATTGGCACCATCCTAGGGGTGAGTGTTTGATCTTCTGTTTTCCCTACAATCCCAGGAGTGCGTGAGCAGCTGGCACCCACACTGGGTGATGACCCATGGAGAGCTTCATGGGTGTTCAGGTCTGGATTCTTGACGGTTTTCTGTTTCTGTGTCGCGCTGAAGGGCCTTAGGGAAAGGCTTGGTTTAAGAGCCCTCCTTCCAAAGTAGAGAAAAAGAGGATGTAAGTGCTTTGTCCTTTATGGTTCCCAAGAATTGGAGAATGAATATAAAAATGATACACATGAGATGCAAATTGCTTGTATAGTTAGATAACATAAGTGTGTAGGTATTCAACTCTCCATTAATAGAAGGAGCCCAGATAACCGCAAATCATCACTAAGCCATCACAACTCCAGTAAACTTTCCATTAGCCCAGATGGGGTGTGTGTGTGCGCGTTTAACCACAGTTACAATGCAGCAGGGACTCAAGGACTTGGAATGTGTTTACCCCTTTGGCAGCAGCTGGTTAGGGCTGATTGCCAGAAGGGGCCAAGTCTTGGGGACTGGGCCTCTTAGTGGGGGACAGCCACGATCTTTTGGTCCAAGCCACAGAGGGTCCAGATCCCTGCTTTTTGGTCACTGTCAGGTTGCCCTCCTGAGCTTTATGCCCACTGCCACATCTTTCCCCTTCCTCATATCAGGATTCCATTGGTAAAGTAAGTTCTGCTCTGTAGGAGACATTGCAGATTGGTTTCCAGAAGTCTTCTCCCTTGCTTTCCTCAACTAAAAAACTGCAGGTCTTCAATATTTACCATCCCAGACTCCCTTGTAACTGGGGATAGCTATAAAACCCAATTCTGGCCAGGTGAGTTTCTCATGCAAAAGGCAGGAGTTAGCAGCCACAAAACTCTTTAAGAAAAAGTCAGATTTAGATGGTATTCCCTTCAAAACTTTGACATTCCTTATATGTTCTTCCCCTATTTCTTCTCTCTTGGAGCATGGATATGATGCCTGGAGATACAGCAGCCATCTTGCAACCTTGAGAACAAAAGCCACTCACTTAAGGATGGTAGAGCAAGAAAGTAGAAAAAGCTAAGGGCCTGCCCTGGCTGGTGTAGCTCAGTGGATTGAATGCCAGCCTGCGAACCAAAGGGTCGTCAGTTCAATTCCCAGTCAGGTCACATGTCTGGGTTGCAGGCCAGGTCCCCAGTAAAGGATGCACAAAAGGCAACCACATATTGATGTTTCTCTCCCTCTCTTTCTCCTTCTCTTCCCCTCTTCTAAAAATAAATAAATAAATAATCTTAAAAAAAAAAGAAAGAAAGAAAGAAAGGAAACAGCCGAGGTCCTAGGTGACATCTATAAACGGCTACACACCTCCCTTTGACTTCTTGTTAGGTAAGAAAAATAAACTCCTATGTGTTTAAGTTATTTTAGTTGAGTCTTGTATTGTTTACAGCCAAATATAATCTTCTCTGATACACTCCCATCAATCCACCAAAGTATAATATTGGGGTAATTCCTGAGCATTAGCTTATAGATGTGTTACAGTGATATTTTATATACCTTGCAGGGGCATAATTCTTCATAGTTGTCAAAGATTACTCACATATGTCTTCCCTGAACCTCACAACTTTGGGAGATATTACTGTAAATATATATATGCCAAGTCTGCTCAATGTTCTGCCCCAGATCACAGAGGACCTTAACCTAGTTCCTCTGACTCCAATCCTATGTATTTTCTTCAACATCTTTAATAACACAGCAAAAAAAGGCCAATGAAGAACACTTATTCCTCTAAGTTGGCATGAACTCTACTTAGCCAAGACAAAGCAGATTGCAAGTAAATTCTGGAACTGCAAAGTGCCATAGTCTATTTGAGAATTAAGTTCCATCCACTGTCTTCCTGAATCTCCCTCACCTTGCAGCCACCCCTGGACATCCTACCTTGGATCCCTGTACTTTCTCTTTCTTAGATAACTGGTCCTGCAGATGAATTCAGTCTTGTCATTCTTCATTCTCACCCTTTAGAATGCTTAGACCATTCCTTCCTTGAAGTACTTTCCTCAGGGGTGTCTTCCCATTACCTACCTCTTCCCTTGTGCGGTCTCTCTCCTGATTCCTCTTTTCCCACCTAGATGTTGATGCTGTCCCTGCACCTGTCAGGGGCAGTTGTCCTGAGTGTCACAGACTTTCCACTTGTGAATTCGTTCAGTTCTCAAGAATTTCACCATAGGTGCAAAAACTGTCTGAAGAAGTCAACCATTGTCTCTATGCCCAAATCTATATTCTAACTACCACTTTCCTCTTAACTTTAATCCCACTTTCCAACTATTGTCTACATTGCCCAGTGGGTGGCAAGGATTAAATAAATAGTATCTATTTTTAACAATTTTTGAAAAATAAAAGGATGCAGCAAGTTACTGTAGCATAAAAGAGTTTTATGACTGACTAATTTCTAGTACCAGGAGCTATGATATGACCATCCTACCTTGGAAATCACACCACAGGTCAACCTTATTGTTCTTGTCATAAGGAAATGAGGTAGAATTAATAGAAATCAGCAGCAGCAGGCCAAATAGAAATGAAAAGGCAGGTCTAATGAGAATATCCTCATTACTTCCTTGTAGAATTCTCTCCTTATGATATTCTTCTTAATTTATTCCAGACAAAGTGAGAGAAAGTAAGGATTTAAAGTTGAGGTGAGATAGGGCCAGAGACTTAGATGTGGTGGGTGGGGAGCATGAGGAAGACAAGAATGGGAGAAGGGCGGCTGTGCCACAGAATAGTCTGGGGCTGGGGGAGAGGAGTCTCCACCCCTGTGCAAGTGAGCTTACTCAGGTTCTGTTGGAGAGAGGAATAGGTGAAGCTCATTTAATGTGTGGACCTCAGTGCTAAGGGGCTGTTTTTGAAGCCGGTGAGCCCTGAAGGGTCCATGAAGTGGGAGGACTTCTTCTAAGATCACCTGATTGACCTCCGTACCCCAACTCTATCATACACAGAGCCCTAATGTGGGGGTGGGGGGCATCTCCTATTCTACATATTCCTTCACCTGTCAGTCACCTGCCTGTTCCAGGAATGTTCCCTGAACATAGACTGTGGGCAGCACACTGCTCATCTGGAAAATTGAACCTATGCACTGAGGGGTCCCCAACTAGTTCACCAAGCTTGTCCTCGCTTCCAAAGTTAACCATGTACATCCAAGACACAGCCAATTCATGGGGAGAAGTAGCTTCATAAAGGTTCCTTCTTACTCACTTCCCAGGGGTACAGCTCCTGGACATCAGGGACCTTGGGAGCACTTCTGAAAGAATAGATGGGAATCCCATGGTATACCATCTAATCAGTAGGAAGCTCTCCATGAATAATGTATTTTCCCCGTTTTAGTAGCACAGGCTATAGAAGATCATGAAGAGAACTCATGTTAAATCCCTAGCTCTGCTTCTCACAGTGCAACAGGAGGTAACTTTCTGAAGCTTAGTGTTTGTGATGGTTAATTTAACTTGACTCAAATGGTGCTCAGATATTTGGTCAGACATTTTTCTGGATGTTTCTGTGGGGGTGTTTTCTGGATGAGATTAATATTTAAATTGGTGAACCTCCATAATGTGGGTGGGCCCCATCCATCAGTTGACGACCTTAATACAACAAAGACTGACCTCCAGGATTCTGCCAGTAGATGGTCTTCAGACGTGACCTGTAACTCTTCTCTGAGTCTCCAGCCTGCCATCCTACCCCTTCAGATTTTGGACTCACCAAGCCTCCGCAATTGCATGAGCCAGTTCTTTGAAATAAATCTCCATCTGTCTACACACGCACGCACGCACGCACACGCACAGCCTGTTGGTTCTGTTTCTTTGGAGAACCATGACTAATATAGTGTTCCTCATCAATAACATGACATGAAGATTGTTCCAGCCCAAAGGATGGTTTAAGAGACCAAGTGAATCAAAACAGTTTGAAAGTCTCTGCCTCAGTGAGTTCTTCTGAGACTGGGGAGGAAGAGGAACACTCAGAACTGTGAGGTCTCTCATCCCACTACTTAGCCTGTCAAGATCAACGTACTGGCCCCGGGCTTTGTTTAGGGATGTTCCAAACTTTGTATCAAGGGTGCTCTCAGTGCCTCAGAGGCAGAAACAGCTTTTTGTGAGCTGGACCCAGTTCAATACAGACATCTCACCCAGGAGGTGTTTTGATCATAGGCCCGATCCTGCTTCTCTTACTTATAAT